GATTATAAAAAAAAAAAAAAAAACCTTTTGCTTACACGATATCAAGCAAAATTTAGTCTCCGGACAGCTTATGCTGCAAAATACTATTTGAAGGATATTCATGGATTTCCAAATGAAATCTATAGATGTCCTTGCTTAAAGTCCTTCTTTGAATTCAAAAAATTCTTGAAAAGAAGAACGAGCTGTACACCCGCACTTTCTGAAGAACTTACTTTCAAAAAATAAATTGAGTGACAATACTTGTATGCTAATAGATGAAGTTGTGTCACAACTACTTTGTATTTATTCTAATTTCTGTACCTGTAAGGAGGTGAATAATGTAGAATAAAATAAACAAAAAAAAACTTTGTATTAACACCAGGATTTGCAGCATAGTATTGAATATAAGTAAAAGGAATGAACAGTCAATTAATCAAAAATCATTCTAAACTATCCATTAAAGTTTACTTCACATTTTATGAGTACCTATTATTTTGGTATGTGTAATTTGAATTATGTTATCCTTTTCCCTCTCTTTTTTTAAAAAAAAAAAAAAAAAAACTGTTCCTCCAGAAATTTAATTTAATAGAATATATCTATACATATAACTTCATTGTTAAGTTTTTATTATGGTGTATTTTTTAATAAATGTTGTCTACAACAACGATGCCCACTTTAGGCTTTGTGTCTCATTAGTGTCTCTCTTAAATTCTATCTCGGCGAGCTCTAAGAATTTACCTAGGATCTCACCTTTTTTCTCAAAAAGTTTTATATGTGTTAATCGCATATCGTATCAGAGTCACTGTATGCAGTTGTTAATAGTTATACCTTACTTCATTGGATGTAAACAACTCTCAGAAGAATTTCTCGAATATTTTAAGATGAATTAACTGATAACTCATGCGTCAGTGATTTGAATTACCTGGAAACTTTGAACTAGGCTTTGTCCACACGCATGCATTCCCGTCGAACTTCAGCTGTATCACTCTGGTGACGGTGAACTAGATAAAGACAGAACCAACGAACAAAATTTAGCTACATAGAGATCAGCCAAATAAGACTGTATAGTAAGATTACTTCTACCTCTAACGAGATTTCATCTGAGTGGTCGTGCCAACTCAAAAATGGACTTATTTTTGAAAATTGACAGAACTTTTATTTCTGATCTCAAAACCCTTCGTTGGCCTTACCGGAGCTGTGACGCTCTACCGCAGGGAGGCTCTAAAGGTGGAATGCCGAAAAAGATTTCTAACTTCAAAATGAGGCAGAAAAAGTATTTCCAATGTAATAATACCTACCTCCTGATACCAAAAAAGTGATGTCCTAAAAAAGTAGCGTCAAGTACAATCTACCGAAATTATTTAGCATTTCCGGTTACTCAACTGATTACTGGAAACACTCTTCCGCATTACGCGCGATAGATATGCCCCTGTATCACACGGTCAGAGTAGAGCTCTCAAAAAAGCTTATCGATGGCAATTTAGACTGTTAGCCTCTCAAAAATTATCGGCCCGACGATCTTTGAAGGTGACCAATGTGTTTGGGACACATCACGAATCACATCTTGAAATTTTCAAAGAATTTCATGCTAAATGGAGATGTTGCAAGTGTGAGGAATTTGCGATTTGACTGTTGATTCTTATGTAAAAGTTAGTGAGAAACACGACGGTGCCACTGGTTTTCTCTGAAATCAACTCCCAAGCTCAGAAAAAGCTCTCAAGTTGAGGCCAAAATGGAGGGGATATCCAACCCTACCCGGAGAGTCCACGTCTACATCAAGACAAACTCTCCATGCAAAGATAGGGAGTAAATACATTGACAGGGCTGCCACTTGATGTGGGGACTCCACAACTGAAAACACGGCAACCCTGCTATTGTATCTGCTCCCTATCTTTGCATGGAGAGTTTGTCTTGATGTATAGGTGGACTCTCAGGGTAGGGTGGGATTTCCCCTCCATTTTGGCCTCACCTGAGAGCTTTTTTTGAGCTTGGGAGTTGATTTCAGAAAAAACCAGTAGCACCATCGTGTTTCTCGCGAACTTTTACTTATGAATCAACAGTCAAATCGCGAATTCCTCACACATGCAACATCTCCATTGGCGGAGAAATTAAAGAATTAGTGCCACTTTGAGATCTCTACTTTGATCGTGTACCGATCAAATACCAAGGTTGTGTGAGACAAGCTTTGCAGCGTCAAGTGAATATTTACCGGAAGTATTCAGCATTTCCGGTTACAGTAGCTGATCGCCGGAAACATTCTCTGATGGCGAGCGAAATTTAAAGCGTCAAGTGAAGATTAATCGGAGGTATTCAGTATTTCTGGTCGCATCATGGTAACAAGAATGAGTATATTCATTTTTTCAGTTTTATTCTAATCTATGAGATTTTTTCCAACTTATTGGCAAGGCAGGATTTACCTACTTACCGCCCATGGGCCGCCTGTATTTTGCCGCCCCCTTCTCATTCGTTTTGAATCATCAATAAAAACCATCAAGTGAACGTGCCAGCGGGGGAAGGATGAAGAAGACGCGTTTACTTGTGTTGGACACATTTTTCAGGAAAGCCCTGTCAACACTACTAGCAAAAGTTCACGGAACTTCGCGCGAAAGTTAAGTTCTGTAAACCTATCTCTTTGTGGACAGGGCCTTCCATTTATAAAAAATGGACGAAAAAATTATGAAAGAACAAACACAAATGTAGTTTAATGATTTTAACTTCCGCCGCCGCGCCGCGCAGACTACACTGTGTTTGGCTGTTTGGCGCAATGCGTGAAGTATTCCGACAGTCTTGCAGGCGCTGAGCGTTTCCCGCTGACCGCACTGTCTTTGGCGCAATGCGTGAAGTATTCATGCCCGCCCGGCAAAATTACGTTGTGGCAACGTTGCCAAAACGTTGCAATTTCGCCATTTACGTATTCGGGCAACGTTGTGGTAACGTTGCCACAACGTGTAATTTTGTCAGCTTGCATGAACGTAATTGGCAATGTGTCTGCAATGTGTTTTAGCAACATATTGGGAATGTTGCAAAAATACGTTTTAGCAACATAATGGGAATGTTGCAAAAATACGGTGAAAAAATTTCGGTGATTTATTTTAGGAGTACTCTGCATTTTTCCTCCTAGAATTCAAGGTGGACCGCAGAGAAGCGTTTCTTAGGCACCCGAAATTCACTCTAAGTCCGATAGTAGCCGCGCTCCGCCCGGGTTCCCAAGCGGGCTCCCATCGAAGTACTAACTACGCCCGACGTTGCTGAACTTCAGTGATCGCCCGTGTGTCGCTGCCACTCAGCTACGGACGCTCGCGTGATGAGTATGGTTATTTAGCATTAATAAACATCCCTAGATCTGGTTCAATGATAGAAAGCAATGATATTCTTGCATTTCTGTGCATAATTCTACAACGAAGGATACTGAACATAATATTAGGAAGATCAAGTTTTTAAAAAAAAGGAGTATGAAAAAAAAATTAAAAAAGAATTGAATAAATATATTCATTTTATTTAAATAAAATTATTATTATTTTAATTATTTATTTAATTATATTACAATTATTTTTTATTATTATAATTATTTGGTATTTTTATTTTGTATTAAATTATTTTCTAATTATTTATATTTATTTTTTTTATTTTATTTTTTATTTTTAAATTATTTTTTTATTTTTTTTAATTTTATCTTCATTTGTATATTTTTATTGTTAATTTTTTTATTTTTTGAATTATCTATCAATTAATTTTTGTTTATTTTTGTATATACATATACATATTTTTGCGACATTGTATGAGGGCGCATTCCCTTATATTGATTGGAGAAAATCATCTGTTGAGAAACAACAGAAAGGAGAACACCTGAAACAGTGGAAAAGTGTCCCCTCCGATTTGCAGCACAGCATCTGCTTGACCTCACATCTGAGTTCCAAGACCAAAATTACACAGGGATTGATACCTCACATGACACTATATGCGCATTTTAAAAAACCGAAATCCCAGAGGCCTTATTATGGCCGCCATTTTGAAATTTAGGCATTTTGGGGGGTGTTCCGGGGTCGGACCGTGGTAAACTTTTGGTATGTTGTTCAGGAGGACCTACTGATGACGTTTACATAGGAAAAGTTTGTTCAGCAATTTGTTCCGGGTCAAATCGTGTTTCTCCCTGACTAATAATGTTTAACAACGTTGTCACAATATATCTAAGAAATATTTATTGAAACGTTTTTTAATAATGTTCCAGAAACATTTCTAAAAACGTTTTGAAAATATTATCTAAAATATAATGTCAGGCAACATTGCTGAAACATTGCTTAAACGTTGCTGCTTTACCTTTACAAAGCAATATCATCAAAAATGTTGCCTTGCAACGTTGCGGCAACGTACACATTGCTCCCTTGCCGGGCGGGTAGGTCTGTTTCCTGTGGACAAAATGGATCTATTTCCCGTTTAGAAAATCGATAGGGCTATTAGATAAGAAAAAATATCCAAAAACCTGATAGGAAATAGAGAAAAATTGGATATTTTCTTTATCTATTTCTTAGAAATTAGAAATACAGAAAACAGATAGAACAAAACACAGAATGTAGACAACAAAATTGTCTGTTTTCCTTGTATTGAGTGTATTGTATTGAACATAGAAAGAAAATAGAAGTTTTTTTAAATCATTTTCTTACTTCTATTTTACACATATCTATTTTCTTTCCATTTTCTTTCTATTTTCATTTTCAGTCTAGAAATCAGACAATTTCTAAATTAGTGCTAGACAGAAAATAGAACCACATGCTACTTGGGGAATTATAAGCCGTTCTCTCACATTACATACAGGCGCTGCAAATGGAGTCACCGGTGCCATCGATGACGCGCGGAGCTGAAAATCGATTGCATCCACGGATATCTACCCATTTGTGGCTCCCACTTGAAACGTGTGAAAACGGCTTCGGCCCACGAATAATTAAAAGCTTGACGGAAGCTCAACCAGAGAGCGTTGTGTCTTGGCCGGGAGATGAATGGCGACGATGCTGGTCGGAAAAATCGTTGACAAGTCGTGCGACGACCAAGGCATCCGCGGTATCGGGACAGCGTTGCGTCCTTTAATTACATAATTGCAGAAGCCACGCCAGTGTTTCGTCCAATCTCGCCTTGGCGAAAAAAACTGCACGAATCACCGATGTGGTGCAAATTACCGGTCGGCCAGTTCCAACCCACCAGTTAGGACAATTAGCAGCGAAAGCACCGAGAGTGGAGGGTGTACTTTCCACTGGAACGAAGTGTAAAAATCTCCGCGTTTTTTCCATGCACGCAGCGCGCTCGGAAGGAACTCCCCGAAGGAAGGTTAAAAATAAACGAGCATCGTCGCCGACGGTTATCAAGTTAAAATTCGAGGCGGCTTCGCTGATTACTTTTTATCACGCTGCCCCGAGAAGGGTTTAAATAAGTGTCGGTGATAACGGAGCTTCAGTGTTTTCGGACGAGAGGAGCATTTCACTTTATCCGCGGTAAGTATCACTGCAGTAGTACATACATACGAGATTTTAGCTTATTAGATCCCGCGGGTAAATTAACATGACCTTGCGTCATTGCGTGTCTGTCACGCAGCGTTGAGTCAGGGTCGGTAGAATCGCCTAGTGCGATTGCCGTTTTATTTTCAAAAATAAAAAAACCGCGCCCACCTCAACGTTTTTAACCAATCGGCGATCAGGATAGGCCGGCGGGCTTTTCTCAAGTTCATTGAACTGGCTCTGGCACGGTGATAACACGATTATTTCACACGAATAAATTAGGTAATTTGAGCTATATCTGTTATCAGTATTTAAACGTAATAATATTCTTTCAATTTGGTACTGATAAACGTAACTCAAAATGACCTAATCCAATGTGACGTAATCGTTGATTTATCCAGCTTAGTAGTTAATAGTGAACCGTCAGTGAGGTTAGATTTCATACGTTTACTTATGGGGCTTCTGTATTCCCAGCTTTCAAATAGTCTGAAACGAGCTGTCTGAAAACTCTGTCTAAATAATGAACCTGCAAGCTCTCACTGCATGTTATGTTTTCATATTTTTCGTAATTAAATTGTTACAAACTTTATAAGACGCCTTATTTTTATTCGCCTAAGGCGTAATCAAATAAAACATGTTTTCTCAAACTTCAATAAATTCAAAAGGACAAATTGGACTGCATTTTGCAATTTGGACCTATAAATTCTGGCTCATCTGAAAAAACACTCATGTGCATAGGGAAACTAATGGCACATACGTTGTTTTTAAACCGGGCCGGAATTAATAGGTCCAAATAATTGCAAAATGCAGTCCAATTATAAGCTCAAGGATCCAATCATCAAGCCCAGGGGAGAGGTATTACTGAGAGGGTCCAGGGGGTCGATCTCCGCCCAGAAGTGTCTCGCGCGGTATCCTTCTGAAAAATGTGACTGTGTGAGTGTAACCGCTCAATATAACGAGACTCCTCGACTGCAAAAATTTCTAGTTGTGCTAATGAATGCCTGCAACCCCGAGCCCTTCATTTGTGGCCCGTTCCTTGCGATTTTTTTTTTTTTTAAATATTTTTTTTATCTTGTTTTTTTAATTTCATTTACAGAAATTAAATTTTTGTCGGATTAGGGTATTGAAATGAAATCTTGGGAAAAACATTTTCCACGATATAATTTCAGATTTTTGGAACTCAGTACTTCATTACTGGCGTTACATTTGTCTACTATATTTTCTTAGGATGGAGGAATTCCACTTAATGACGAAAATATATTATTACACTATTTTTTTTTAAAAAAAATTGATGATCCAGTCTTGATCTGTGATCTGATCCGAACGATAGAAATTTATTCTACATTGCACATCGTCTACTTGCTAAAAAGTGTACCTTTCAGTCTATATGCAACCAGCATTTGTTCTTATGCTTTTTTCTCCTTCTTTTTTTCTTTCTTTTTTTGTAATTTGAAATCTTACATTGTAGGAATATATTTACACACGCTGGATGCTCAAAATCAAACGAGAGAAACATTCAAATACATTTTCAAAGTGTCACATTTTTAATTATGAACGAAAGTCCAGCATGTGAATCTGAAACACGAATTCCGTTATCTACAACGCGGCTCAGTAAGAGAATCTGAGCAGAATGCACTTTTCCCACCTTTTGGAGCCAATTGCAGGCCGTTTGGGGCATCTGTAATTTTCCAAAAACTAAGTCGAATTACTTTTTTCGTGGACTGAGAATTATTATCATTTGCTAAATTGCTAACACGGTTTTTTAGTCATCGACCAAAACATGTTTACTTCTGAAAGTTAAATGAAAATATTTAATGAAAAGTTTGGCATTATCAAGTACTGATGAACTCGTTTTATTTAGTGAGTTCGCCGGATTCAGTAAACTCACTAGAGCTCGTGAGCTCAGTACTATCTTATAAGCAGTGGCGTGACGCACTTTGCGATATTTCGATTTTTATGCCATTTAAACCTATGGAAAAGGATCGATAACTAGAGTGTTCGCAGCGAACACCTTAATAATCGATTCTGCACCATAGGTTTAAATGGCGTAACAATCGATATATCGCAATTCACGCCACGCCACTGCTTGTAAGCTCATATCGAGTTTGTAGCTTTCATCACTGATGCAACCAATGCGGAAAAAAACAATACGGACGAGAATGAGGGATGTAGAGGGCGGGAAGGAAGAGAGGTATAGTGGAGAGAGAAAACCCCGAAACTTACCCCGAACATTTTACAACACTTTTTGCATCCCCCGAAACTTCTCATCGAATTTATCATGGATCTTATCGCCAACTGGTGGACTTGAGTCAGGTGCCTTCTGGACGTGTTTAAATCAAAAGGAACTATATCCACTCTGACATAAGCCCTGAGATCCATGAGAGTACATGCTCGACAGGGCTCATGTCAAAATAGATGCGATTCTTTTTGATTTGAATGTGTCCAAATGAGCAATTGTATCAAAGTTTGGTGAAAGTTTTTGCTTTGTTTTCCCCTCTATTATTTGCGATGCTCGTGAATTGCAGAGGGAAGCCGGACACGTCTGATAAACTGCAGTTTACGGTTCCTCGCTGGGACAGATAAATGGGCGAGAGCGTGCGTTTATTATCATATGATGATATTGATCTGGATGGAAAATTTGTCATTCTCTTCGGAAATAACCCACGAAAACTAATTTGAAGAAACCAGCATCAAGATTTCAAAGTTAGGAGAATATCACTATTCATTGGTGGCTTCGAACCTTGATCAGACCGGATCTAAAGTTTCGACTACCTTGAATTTAAAATGTTTCACCTCAACTTCAGCTCCTCGATAGAATCCTTTTACGGAGCAAGCACGTCATTTTAGAAGGAAACTTTTGCATTTGCTTTTCATTCAACTTCTTTTAAGCTGAATTGACAAGTTCCATGCTTATCATGACGTTTATGCGTGGTTTTTGAAACATATATATCGATGACCGAAGTGAGAAACCGCGTATTTCAATCTCGGTACCTACTTCAAAATTTCCGCTCGGTCCTTATTTTATTTTTTCGGCGAGAAACGAGCCAACTTTATAGCTTGAAATTCATACAGAATATTCTGCAAATAAAGGAAAGAGTCAAGGAAATTTTAAAGAAATTACGAAAACAACTTTCTCGATGAAACAGCTAAGTGTGACATAAAGTCTGCAACGTCTCAAACTGAGATTCGTGGTTTCACACTTTGCCGTCGAAATGCACAGCAGTTTGTTACCCCTATCTCCTTCCGATAAATTTCCATGATACAAAAAACGGAGAAAAGGAGAAAAGATTGACATTCAGAATTCAGAAACTCCACATTGAGTCCAGCCCTTTGTATAAGTACCTAAAATGACCTTGTTTGTAAATATTACGTCACAGGTGGTTTACATCTCGTAGGTTTAGCTCTCTTGAATTCTAAAAACTTGATGATTAATTCTAACCATTCTTTTTGTGCTAATTTGACGAATTGTTGTCATGTCAAAAAATGTTTTAAAAAAGTCTGAAATTCTTTTAATTTACACCAAGTTTTACATTTTCACGAGAACCTCTTTTAAAAAAATAAATAGTAGATGGAGATGTTGAAACAGCGTAACGGATTCCATTCTTCTTTTAATAAGAGCACAAATAGATCTTGAACTTTAAAGTTCACCATTAAAGTTTAATCCGCCTAACTGGAGGTGCGTATTTCAAGGCACCAGTCGGTACCTACGTTTGTCGGGTCGTTAGATTAGATAGGCAGTTCAAACCAATGTTTTCCTATCCAACATGCAGATAAAATAAAGTAATTAATACCTGACCATAAATCAACAGCGAAACAAATACTTCTCTTGAAAAAGAATCAATATTTAATGTGATCGCATGTTCTCGGTCTAGTGTGCAATTCGTTTGCTAAGTATATGCTTCGAGAATCATCTTCAAGACTACTCGGGCTCCATCGGTGTTTTTTAAAGGTAAAACTACTTCTACCGTCGTTATTTGTTCCCCTGCTACTAATTTTAATTTACTTTCTTTTTTTTTCTTTCATACCTCTGATATCATCAAAATTTTGTTCGTGAAAGGTACGTCCAGATTATTAGTTTTGTTGGGATCCAGATAGATTTATACTGGGGCAGTTATTTAAATGTAGTAGGTTCTTTTTAGCAGATATTTCAAACCCAGGAAGTAAATCAGAAAGAAATCGATGCGGCGTGTGTCGAAAACGTGGGCGGGAAAGGATCGGCATACTACGCACCCTTCAATCAATCACTCTACACCCTTGTTTACACTAGTGGCCTTGATTTGGCCGTTTGCGTATTATGCAATATTTTGTAACTGTCCTCGGTTAAAGATACAAGACGTACAAGACACGCCTCACACGAGAATTCAATGTGTAACAGTGGCATAAGTGTCTCATTTGAGGAGTATTCATGCTGTCTTGGTATTGCATATGCACTATTTTGAGGGCGCGTTTGAGCATACATCAGGAAATGAATCCTCATCGAAGTTGTAATGGACAGTATTCAGCCAATAAATCTATACCAAGCTAACATTTTTACTATTGTGAAAAGGGGAAAAAAGAAAGGCATTAAGAAATGGCACGGATGAAATAAGAACGTAAAGCGCAGAAAAAGGGATGAAAAAATGATGGCTGAATAAAAAACCATATCTGAATTGCGACGTTTAAAAATCTCCATAGGTACGTGTTTTATTTTTTCAAAAGCAAACTATCCATAGTATCTTCTAATAGGTCAAGAAAATTCACAGAAAACTCTAAGAAAAAGTATCGGTTAGTTTAGCTTAGCTTTGGAATTCAGCAAAGAGCATGCAGAAATTTGTGACGTCGCACTCAGAGATACACATTCTTACAATACTTATTAGTCTCTAGCCATGAAAATGAAGTTATTTTCAATTTTAATATTTTTTTTTAATGTCTACAGGTGAACGTTCCAACATTTAAAAGTATCAAAATGTCATCAAAAGTTCAAGTTACTCCAATCGGACCACAACTGAGCCTCGGAGAAGGACCTCACTGGGATGAAAAGACCAAAACCTTGTATTATGTTGACATTGTGGAGTCGGCAATACATCGATACGTCCCGCACAAAAATGAGCATAGTCATTGCAAACTCAAAGGCAAGTACACTTCACAGCTCCCTTTGAATCCTTTGATACCAAAAATACCCCCATCCAATCAAAGAGTGGACGATGAAACCGGAAGCACGGCTCTCTATTAAGAAATTATAAAAAGTTTACTTTTCACAAATAAAAAAGATAAACGAAGAAATAAGTAAAATAAATAATATAAAATCATAAGTATAACGGGTAACGCATAACGTCTGACGTGAAAACGTTAGTAAGTAAATAAATAAAGATTAGCCCATACTTTTTATGATTGTAAGCAATATTATTAATGAGACACTAAAAAATTGTGCTCTAGTTTTTCATGGCTAACTGATTTTTGTTGTGAGGTTGCAATCTTCATTGATTCGCAGTCGTACTGCCGTGCTAAGGAAGAACGCTGTATGAGCCTTCAGATGTTGCCAAATTTCTTTCAATAAAGAACCGATTTTAGTGGAAAAATTGCGAATCTTTCTCTGCAAAAGTCAGGCAATTTTATTTGCACTTTACTTCAAGGTATCTGCAAATCTAAGCAAAAATATATGCATAACTTTCCTCAGAAATACATGTTGTATCCTGGTAGATTTGGCAACTCTTGAATTTTCATACGGCGTTCTTCCGTTGCACGCCAGCATAGTCATGATGGACCCCTCTAGAACCAGCAATGTACATGATTTTTCCATTTTCAAATCGCAATCATCTATATAGTGTTTTATGCCGGTTAATGACTTGCTTTGATATCGACAGGAAAAACGGTGTCATTTGTCGTACCTGTTGAGGGTAAAGAGGACAGTGAGTTTGTTGTTGGCCTGGAGCGGGACGTCGTGCACGTGGTTTGGGACCTGAAAAGCAACAAACCGACTGCAACGAAAGTCCTTTGCAGCGCGGAGGAAGACCGGGGACGAAACCGGTTGAATGACGGCAAAGTGGACCCCACCGGCCGGTTGTGGGCGGGTAAGTCGAACCTCTGCTTTTCTATTTCGTCGATGAAGAATCAAGCTCTTATAAGATATTATCTTATCGAATCAATGTGGCAACGTCTGGAATCTCTTATGGCGTTCATGTATGATTTTTAATAAGCACTGCACCGGAGAGGCGCAGAGAAGGTGACTTAAGGAACACTGCGCGGACAAGGAAAATTAAAACGCCTTCAAATAAGCGTATATGCAATACGCACATCCACAGAACACGAATAGTTGCATCAAGGTGTTTAAACAGATGCGACGCGACGTCGTCGCCAGCACGCGTGGTGACTGAACGGGCAAGGAAAGTCAAAATGCCTTCAAATAATCGTGTATGCAACACGCACATCCACAGAACACGAATAGTTGCATCAAGGCGTTATGTGCATATTTCGCTGAGTTGGTCGCGCAGGATACGTATAGGTGAATACGTGTCTTTCTCTCCTTTCGTGGAAAGAGGTTTTGATACTTCATTCTTCATTCTTCCCTTGCAAAAATTTAAGGACCAAATTATGACTTTGGATGTAAGAATTCATCACTTTTAATGTTTAAAATTTAATTTTGTCGAATGTATGGATTCATTTATATTATTAAACATTTAAATCTGCTTTATAAGTCCTTTTCTTCCTTAAATTTCGTTAATTCCATAAACATATTTATGAATTTTTGCTTTCTCAGGGACAATGCTGCACCTTGGCGAAGTTGATAACTACCCTTTTTCGTCCCATCTGTACAGCTTTGACAAAGGATCAAAGCCGAAGAGACATCTCTCAGAAATTGCCATCTCCAACGGACTCGCGTGGAGTCCAGATCACACGAAATTTTACTACATCGACTCGTTTAAATTTAAAGTGCAAGCATATGATTATGACAAATCCAGCGGTACCATCAGTAAGTAACGCACGATTATAAGTTGTAATTGAATCGACGCATGCGAAAAGTCCGTTGTCCAATACAGGGTTTCATAATTGCGGTGTGTTTCTTTTGTCCCACGAAACAGACGAATAGGATCGATCTCTTTTGTAAACGTTTAATTACACTTGAGGGATTATTCATAAAATTGTTCAACACTCCTAACGTCTTGAACCATCTTGTGTCGTTACCCTGGTAAAAATTGGCGATAAGAGCTGCGTTTCAAAATACCATAGATTCTTATAGCCGGCTAAAGAAGGCTACAGAAAATCATATAGCTGGCTGTAGAATGCGGAGAAAATCACACGGCCTGGCTATACGAAGCGATAAAAAATTATGCAGCCGGGCTATAGTTCCCATCGCCGGGCTTTACACTTTATCGCCTGGCTGTTGCTTTTTCGCCATGCGATTATAAAAGGCTATAAGAAAATGTGTAGAAATTCGTGTGCTTTAGAAATCATTAAGTTCGATACGGAACCACCTTAATATTTACAAAACACACATTATATTGTCCTTTAATACATATTTTTTTTTCATCAATTAAAATGAGAATAATCCATACAGGATGTGCAAACATTTCAAAATCATGAGTTGAATAACGCTGACTCCGCCAGATTAAATATTAGAGCCTAACACAAAGCGGAGTTGCGACGCACTGGCGCCTACAAACCTAACAGGGATACTTCACGCATTGCGCAACGCGTGAAGTATCCCTGTTAGGTTTGTAGGCGCCAATGCGTGTTCCGCGCTGGCTGCCTGACTGCCACGGCGCTTGAAGCAACTATTTCACACCAGAGGTATTGCACAGTATCATACGAAACTGAAGGCGCTCTGATATATTAGGAATGGCAGGCATCCATCAAAAGTACGGAGCTTTCCTCGCAAAATAAATCACGATATTATGACCCAAAAAGAGAGCAGTAGGTATTCCAAAAACTCACTAAGTCCTAGCATCCGTAATTAGTAACGTTTAGCATACACTTTATCGCCTGGCTGTTGCTTAATCGCCATCGGCTATAAAAGGCTATAAGAAATTGTGTAGCCGGCTATAGAAGCTATTGGAAATTTTACAGCCGGCTGTAGGTCTATGGTATTTTGAAACACAGATTCTACTGCCAATTTTTACCAGGGTAAGTTACAACGAAATTGTCCACTCAAATTCTGAGACACTGTCTTGGACATCGGACGTTTTCGCATACGTTGATTCAATTGGCAGAGGGGGTGGAGGAAGATAAAACAGAAGTCTACCACATTTTACAGTTAGGAATTGCAATTTCTGGCTCATCCGTGAAAAAATTTATGTTCATAGGGAAATTAATGGTACATCCGTTGTTTCTAAACTGAGGCAGAAATTATAGTTCTCAATTGCAACATGTATACACACGTGATCCTAGGAAAGGATTACTTTGATCAATGGGGTGATTTCTATCATTTAAAAATATTTGGCATTTCTATGAACCTTTTACAGCTCAAAGCGCGAGGATCAAAATATGTTAAGGAAAATTCGTTCAAGAAGAAATGTAACGGGAGACTCATTCTATCGAGCACACTTCTTTCTATCCCCTTTTACAATAAAATTACATTTTTATAGTGGTTAATTTTCAGTCATCCAGCTGTGACCAGAAAAAAAAAAGTATGGAAGAACCCCTTTTTGCTTTTTCTTCACTGCCCCTGAATCCTTAAAAATGTTACAAAAGTATTCTAACGAAGCCTGACATTTCCCCTGCTTTCATTATACAAGAAAAGGCGTGTCGTGTTTTTGGATGAATCGATTGATCTGCCATTTAAACGTTTACACTGAGAAAAAATTCTCGGCGTTTTTACCAAGGTACCTTTACCATCTCACTTTTTTTTTACCAATTATTGGTAATTTTACCAAGACAGACTGGTAAGCTTACCTAAAAACCGGTATTTGTACTGTTTTTTCAGGTAAGAAAACCACTTTTAGTGGTAATCAATTCCTGGTAACTTTGCCATTTTATTTCGGTAATTCTACCACAGTCGATAAAAAATATTGGCGTTTTTACCGAGTTCCGGTAAAATTACCAATGCCATAAATGGTAATTTTACCAAGAAAAAACTGGGATCAAATAGAACCCTGCATTCTTGGTTATTACCCTTTTCTTAGTAAATACACCGAGATTTTTTTTTCAGTGTAGAAAATAATCGAGCATCAGGGTAGGTATTCACAACGAGTACTCTTAAAATCGATCCTTTACCATAGTTTCAAATTGGGAAGTATCGATAGTCCACTACTTATCACGCCTCGCCACTGAAGACGATGAACGGATTTGCTACTCGTAGTAATTTTCCACGTGGAAATAATTTCACCATCACGAAGCGAAAGAATTAAATCCTCATGTCTCGCTTCAAATTATTTTATGCCCTTTTTCAAAGTATCCATTATTCATTTCTGGGCAAGAATGGGGTCACATATTCTTTCCTAGAAATTAAAAAGTCTAGGAAACGACGTGGTAAGGAATCTCAAAACTACCTAGATGTAAATTACATATTGTCTTCACAAAAGGACAAACGCTGAGAATTTCGCGTCCTCGAACATGGTGGCGTGATGCAAATTGCATCCAAGTTTGAAGCGTATAATTATCTAAAGATTGTCCATGGATCTTTATTCTTGCAGAGTATCCGAGAATTAATATTTGAATGTTTTATTACGTATGAAACGGAGGAATTTTTCCTAAAATTATGATAAGTAGTGGATAGAGTTTTCATTACCAGAATGAAAGGCGAAATTCTTACTTAGTTTTAATTCCACAGAGTCACCTCCAACTTTCCTTTCTTCTTTTTAACCTGGAATATTAACTACTTTTAAATGAATAACCGGAAATTGCGAGTGCCAAAAACAAATAGCATCCGTTCCTAGATACTAGTCTTATGCTTTACTCCTATTCATGATAGCGCACACCTAACATAAACATAGAGGCGGACCGATTATTGAAACTGATAGATAAAGCGATAGACAAAGACGACAAAAGGGATTTGGAGGGATCCTATTGGTGGAAACGGGTTGTTGCAATGGAAAAAGGAGGTAGGTAATCGACTAAGTAACGGCAACCCACGAGAAACCCGACAGTTAGTCTATCATTTTCCCCCTTAGTCGATGAGAACCACCCATTTCAACCAATAGAATTGCTTTATACCCCCTATGTCATCTTTGTCTATCGCTTTGTCTATCAGTTTCAATAATCGCCCCGCAGGAGTATTCGCAGTAGAGCCTCCCGACAATGCAAGTCCGGAATCACGTATCTCGGTTTGCAACGTCGCAGGCTTTCTATCATACTCTATCTTTTAGATAGAAAGTTTCTCAAAGGCAATTCTTAAAAACTGCCCTGATTTTACTTCCATGTGCGAAGAAAATTTTGCAAAGACTCCAAAGAATAATGTCGATTTGTTTTCCTTTCGAGAAATAAAATAGGAGCCAAGATTTTCAAACACCGCAACTGAGATACGTAGCTTCGGACTCACACCGTCGATTTGTAGATATGTGATGCATATCATGCATCCTAAAATTGTAAATACAAATAAAAAAATAGTGTATTTCAGTGTTCGAAACTCACCTCTGAGTTTTAGGAGCCAAATGGCGCATCAAGCCCGATTTTTAGGCGCCATTGAAGATTTTTTAGGGGCCAAATTGACTTTTTATTGCCTATGTATTACGGTGCATTTTGTGAAAAGTTAGATGCAAGGTTTTTTCGCAACAGAACTAGTAAGTAGCTGTTACTTGGGGAAGACAAAAGCGCAAAGGATAAAATCGTGAAGAATAGAAAAAGCTTTCACTTGTAGTGTTGAAAATTTCGAATAATCACCTGACATGAAAATTCAGATTTTTAGGGGGCAATTTTTAGGGGCCACGTTGGCGCAGAGCCTTCATTTTTTAGGCGCCTTGGCCGATTTTTTAGGCGCATTTGGAGCGTTGGCGCCAGTGAGTTTCGAACACTGGTGTATTTCCTTCGGAAAATACACTAATTATGGCATGGTCAATTCCAAGCCTTCCTTCACATCGTCACCTTCCGGCCAAAGTATCACAAGAGTCATGCTACGTTTAAAAATTTCCGCTGCCATTTTATTTTTTCGCAGAGAAATTTTTGGTTGAATCTGTTTAAAAATTTTACTGAATTTTATTGGCAGCACAAAGAAAATCAAGTGAAATTTTTGGACAGCTCCGTGGAAAAAATTTTCTTTAAAAAAATAAAATGGCGGCGGAAATTTTTAACCGTCGCGTCGTATGGCCCTTGTGATACTTTGGTCGGAAGGTGACGACATGTCATTTTTCTTCGGAGGAATTCAAGGTCTTAATAATCTTTTCTCCTCTTAATGCCCCTCCTTTCTATCCACTCTCAAACAAGTTTTAACTTTCGCTGTTCACCTTTATTTTTGCAGGCAATGAAAGGACAGTTTTCGATTTTAAAGCAAATAACGTGGAAGGATTCCCGGACGGCATGACAATTGATAGTGAAGGTAAACTATGGGTCGCTGTCTACTCCGGTGCAAAGGTGAGGAACATTACAACGGGTAACCTTTACAGAGCACCGTATCATGAGCTCGGCTTACCTATTCGTCAAAAAACAAGTGTATTTCTCTTACACACATACATAATACCCTGGTAAAAATTGGCGATAAGAGCTGCGTTTCAAAATACCATAGGAATTCTTACAGCCGGCTAAAGAAGTCTACAGAAAAGCATATAGCTGGCTGTAGAATGCGGAGAAAATCATACGGCCGGGCTATACGAAGCGATAAAAAATTATGCAGCCGGGCTATAGTTTCTATCGCCGGGCTTTACACTTTATCACCTGGCTGTTGCTCTTTCGCCATCGATTATAAAAGGCTACAAGAAATTGTGTAGAAATTCGTGTGCTTTGGAAATCATTAAGTTTGATACGGAACCACCTTAATATTTACAAAACACACATTATATTTTCCTTTAATACATATTTTTTTTCATCAATTAAAATGAGAATAATCCATACAGGATGTGCAAACATTTCAAAATCATGAGTTGAATAACGCTGACTCCGGCCAGATTAAATATTAGAGCCTAACACTGAGGCGACGCTCTGGCGCCTACAAACCTAACAAGGATACTTCACGCATTGCGCAACGCGTGAAGTATCCCTGTTAGGTTTGTAGGCGCCAATGCGTGTTTCCGCAGCCCGCCTGCCACGGCGCTTGAAGCAACTATTTCACACCTGAGGTATTGCACAGTATCATACGAAACTGAAGGCGCTCTAATATTAGTAACGGCAGGCATCCATCAAAAGTACGGAGCTTTCCTCGCAAAATAAATCAAGATACTACGGTCCAAAAAGAGAGCAGTGTTCCAAAAACTCACTAAGTCGTAGCATCCATAATTAGTAACGTTTAGCATACACTTTATCGCCTGGCTGTTGCTTAAACGCCATCGGCTATAAAAGGCTATGAGAAATTGTGTAGCCGGCTGTAGAAGCTATGGGAAATCTTACAGCCGGCTGTGGGTCTATGGTATTTTGGAACACAGATTCTACTGCCAATTTTTACCAGGGTATTATTATTGATTGAGAGTTATAGTTATTTACACATACTTGTATAAGAAATCAAAATTATTCACACTATAAAATCGTCCGTATTGTGTACGCACACAAACACATGTTTATGAACGCTCACATTAAACCTAAACGCCTGAGGACTTAGGTCTTAGATTCGTTTCATTTCACACCATTAATTTTCTTTTCGAAACGGATTGCGTATTCATTCTAGTATTGATCGCGCTGCAATGAATAGACCTTATAGGTGAATTCGGGAATACAGTTGAAGTATAAAGTAAAAATGTACAGTCAAAATTAAAGGAAAAAAGTTGTGAAAAAGAGAAAAAAAGTACTACAGTGTAAAAATTAATGATTCCTAGACAAATCAATCGCCGCAGCGCGACAAGCAACTATTTTTACGTCGCCGAGCGCTAATTACATAGTCTTCTAAATGAAGGCTCACTGAGAGCTGCTAATCGGTTTCGGCTATCCGTTTCTACTTTTCAGAATGAAACACACAAACTTCGATCACCGAATGAATATTAGAAAGATGTGTTCACACATCTGTTTTCTTCTATTACTCTCAGTTCTTTAAAGACCCATTATTTTTAATATTCGCGACATTTTTGAGCACTGCCTTATCATCCCTACATATATGTACGACTTTCTCTTCAACTGGATGTATGATTAAAGAAAAAATAAATGAAAAAAATGAAAATATTGTGTAGAATATGAAAATATTCTAATTTTTTTTCATTTATATTAAATTTCCAGGTGATCCGAGTTGACCCCGATACGGGGAAACTCCTGTACACGCTACCAATTCCAAGCTGGGAAGTGACGTCAGTGGTATTCGGAGGTCCGAACTTGGACGAACTATACGTCACGAGTGCAAACCAGTTTAAGAACAATCCGAAAGACAAATACCCACAACCTGGACAAACTTTCAAAGTTACCAATCTCGGTGTCAAAGGCACACCCAGCGTCTCGATTAAACTGAACTAAACTACATTTCTCTCCCGTCGCGTCGTTGAAATGCACGAGCACTCTGATTTAAAAAATGTGAATATCGCTGCGCTGGTGAACCGAGAAACTGTAGTAAGAGTGCGTATCTCCGGAAAACACAATTTTTCAGGAGAGCAAAAAAAATTGTTTACATTCCTCCTTATTGTCACCCAAGTAGCAGAGGTTGCAACAACTTGCAACAAAATCGTTTGATTCTTGCAACTAATAGATTGATGTGCAGATTGCCTACTCTCTCCCCTGAAGGAGCTATCATTGCTGGAACTAGTTGCAATTAAGTTGAAACATGTTTCAACTTCAAAGTATTGCTGGTTGCCTATCTTAAGATTTTAAACAACTTTGGTGCAGCAATTTTGTAATGTCAGCAGGTTGCAACTTTGTCTTCCAATTGCCAGATTGCCGAAAATCGGCACTTATCGACCAAAAGTTGAACGAAAGTTGCAACTAATACCAACTTTGTTTCAACATTTTGCAACTTTTACATTGAAAAATGCTACTTGGGCAGTAGAAGTAAAGTAACTCTTCACGATAGCAAGAAAAAGTTGCTTGTCTAGACTTCATACGCATTTTGAATAATTTTGCGAACAGTTATAAATTACGGCAGAAATCCCGAGAATCACGTTTTCGCAGCAAGAATTGACACTTAATCACGGGGTACGCATTTTTGCGAATAGTGTATTAAACTTATTGATGGCAACTTTTGATCATATAGAGACCGGAGAAAGAGTTTCACACTTAAAATTCCTTATCAGAAGCTTTAGTTTGATTTCATACGACTGTATCAAGTATTGTATAATCGGAAACTGCCACTTGATCACGATATACGCATTTCTGCAATGACTTCCGAGATACGCGAATAAAGTTCTACGGTTTTAGGTGATTTCCCCATTTTTTTCGATTATAATCTGTTGATGGCAGATAGAAAACATCTTCAACCACACGTTGATGCAGCTAACTCAAAACCGTCAAAAATCGAGTTACGCACTGCTGCAGTTTCACCATCGATATGCGCACTCATTTGCGAGGTTGAAGTGCTAAAACCCCCATTTTTACCTCAGCAAGACAGTGGAAGTGATGTCGGATTTCGATGTGAGCAGTAGGGTGAGAAGATGGAGATCGCTATAAGAAAAAAAAACCCGGTAGAACATTTGTGTATTTGCGTATAGAAAATGCAAAATAATGAAGGGAAATTTTAATATTCAGTACTGAATGTCTCTGCTGAATGCTTTCACGGCACATTTCATAAAGCCTACAAAAATTGTGTAGTATTTTAAGGAAGAGAAAACTTTAAATGCCATAGTCTCTGCTTATCATCACGTTAATTTTGCACCATTTTTGCATTTCTCCGCTTACTTGGGCAAACACCCTCATTCGCACATACAAAAATCTTCTTTCGGTGCTCGAAACCATGAATTTGTTTGCCGGCAACTTAACTCCACTCATTCACGATTTTTTTGCACTGAAAAAGTCTATGTACTCGCAAGTGACCGCACAACAACGGCACATATTATTTGTTTCTAGTGTAAAAATAAAATAAAAAAAAAATTAAAAAAATACTATTGTTTTATTCATACAAAGCTCGTCCTTAGTTTTGTACACGAGAGAGTATATCGACGGTGAAACTACCAAACCACGTATCTCGTTTGCGGTGTTTAAAAATCTACGCTCACATTTTATTTTTTTGAAGTAGACCAAATCAATATCATTCCTTGAAATTTTCACGGAATTTTCTCCGCACAAAGAGAAAAAATCACAGAAATTTTCAAGACTGGATGTTAAGTAGTTTTTCATTTAAAAAATAAAGTATGACAGGAAGTCTGCGACGTCGCAAACCGAGATACGTGGTTTGGTAGTTCCACCGTCGATATTATGTTCCCAATGCCTTTGAAGAAATTTCTCCCATCGTTCACTTAGTTTTTACCTATTGTAGTGGACATTTGTATCTCATTGTGAATATTTTTTTATTTTTCTCGTTCGCATGTTTACACTATACCTATACCTACATGAGATCATCCATCTGTGTCAGCGACTCTAAGAAAAAAATTAATGGCACCGTCTTAAGAGATGTGAATGCCTTGTGTTTGTGGATACGAGAGCTCTATTCGACTTCAAAAAACTATTCCCAGAACAGCGGGCCGATTATTGAAATTGATAGACGAAGCTATAGACAAAGATGAGAAAAGGACTATGGAGTGAACCTATTGGTGGAAGCTGGTAGTTGCAATGGACGAAGGCAGTAGGTAATAGACTTACTAACGGCAATCCAAGATACCCGATAGTTAGTCCATCATTTTCTCCCTCAGTCTGTAGGAACCACCCATCTCAACAAATAGGATCGGTACATGCTCCCTATGTCTTCTTTGTCTATAGCTTTGTCTATCAATTTCAATAATCAGCCCGCAGGCGCTGTTCATCGTATAAACTGCCGTCCACAGCAAAAACGCCGTAACCCCATTACAAATTTTGTAATTTTCTTCCACACATACTGCTCTATTAAAAGAAAATCCAAGTGTGACAAGGCTTCATTTTTTAAATTTTGAGTTCCTTATGGTATGTCTAAATGGACTAGAAAAAATGAAGGACGACGGATGAATATTTGTCACTTTTCTCGTAAAATAGTATTTTGTCAGAAAAATATCGAAAAAATGTCGGATGGAGATTCGGCGTTGATACTTTGGACGGCAGTTTACAGTCATCGCTCTTGTATGGCGTGTTGCAGTAACTCTAATTGAAGGGGATTTTACCCCGACCACGCAACAACCAGTATGTGGTTAAGTTACATGACGACTCATTTCGCCGTAAAAAAAAAGTTCCTTCTTGCGTGATGATCCACCTCGCTGGATCATTGTCGGTCATTGTTTCGACGAGACGTGAAGAGATAGAGTAATCTTGAAAGTGAAAATATGCATGAGACTTAAGATGAAATTACCTATCACACAAGAAAGGGTTTTATTTTAAAAAATTGATTCAATGGTTCCAAAGAAAATCAGTTCACTTCACGCAATACTCTTTGAATTTTCGATCTAAGATGGCCGTAATGGTCATGCACCAATTTTCTATATTTGACCAAAAGTTATTTATTATCTTCAAGGTTTTGAAAAATATACTACATTTTGTTACACATATTCACTGCATGAGCATTATTAAAAGCAACGTATCATATAAGATTGGCACAGCGTGGAACATAGGGCCGGATATACCTACTTGCCGAGGATACCTACTTCCCACAATAGGAGGACAGTGATTATACAGTAAATATATATAAAAATGTATAGAAATAATTTATATAATTATTAATAATTAACATTATTAAATATATAATTTAGATTTAAATATTTACTAATGTTAGTAATAGAGAAGTAGAGGTAGAATAATATATATATTAATCATTTCCCGCCTATTGGCCACCTGTATTTTTCCGCCCCCTTCTCATTCGTTTTGAAACATCAATAGGTAGGTACAAGCCTTCAAGTGAACATGTCGGAGAGGGAGGGGTGCATAAGACGCGTTTACTTGTGTTGGTCACATTTTTTGCGAAAGCCATGTCAACACTGGCTAAAATTCACGGAACTTTCCGCGAAAGTTAAGTTCCATGAACCTATCTCTGTGTGGACAAGGCATTTCATTTATGAGAGATGAACGAAAAAATTATGAAAGAATAAACATGAATGCTGTTTAATTTGAACTTTCGCCACCGCGCCGACTGCACTGTGTTTGGCGCAATGCGTAAAGTATTCATGCAGTCTTGTAGGCGCTGCGCCCGCTGCGCGAACCGGCGATCGGGCTGTGCGTTAGGCGCAATGCGTGAAGTATTCCTGCACTCTAGTAGGCGCTATGCGTTTCATGGCAACCGCTGCTGATCGCACTGTGCAAGACTGTGTTTAACGCAATGGGTGAAGTATTCATGGAGTCTTGTGGGCGCTAATATGTGTTCCATACTGACCGGCGAGGCGCGCCGAGGCGCCGAGGGCTTCTCCATTTCATCTCAAGTCCTCGTAGTTATTGCTCTCTGCACCGCGCCGTTCCAGGCCAAATTGCGTGTTTGGTCTCTCTCTTAACTCGACTTATTGAAGGTGCTGTCTCCTGTATCACTAAGACACGACAAAATTAGAAATTACTATACTTTAACTCTCATGAAAGGAGAGATTTTATCGCCTTTTCTCGGTTGTATTTTTTTTCTGAATCCGATTTTTATTTTTCTTTTTCTGATACCTATATTTGAAAAAATTGAAAATTTGCCGCCATGGGCCGCGGCCCAGATGGCCACCTCCTAGACCCGACCCTGGCTTGGAGCCATAAAAATTGTTTATTCTAATAGAAATTTCTCTCCCTCTACTGAAAAATCATGTTTTCGGAGACTTGTTTTTACTTTCTCGCTCCCATAGGGTAGAGAGGAAGTATTGTCATCCTCCAAGAAAAAAAAAAAAAAAGTTGAAATTTCATCATTTCTAGACGTTTTAATTTTTTCATCTGGAACCCGCGAATTGCGAAGTGTGCACTATTGAAGTCACACACTTTTCCCAGTAGATTTAATCATTCGCATAAGTTTGGCCAAAATTGTGAGGATGCATTATGGAGGCCCAAAATGCGTAATTCTGGGCCGGAGAATTAAGAATGCATACAACATACTTAATTTTGAAATTTTCCCGGCACCACTGCGCACTGTGGTAGACTTGACAACGTCGAACATTGAAGAATGTAAACATTGTATTTTATCAGCCGTGATCTGTTCAATTCAATTCTAGTTCTCATCAACTCTGGTAAATATTTCAATTTATATTTCCTCGTCATTATTTAATTATAATGCCCCTTCAATTTCAGTCGTTTATTTCGCGATAAATTCACAACGTGCCACTCAAAATTTCGTCAGCGATTGAGGTTAGAAAGCTTGCTTGACACACAAGAATCTGTTCAAGCAACTCTGTTAATTCTAATTTATTGTTACTCATTATTCTTCGGATTCAAGTCTATTTTGAAATCACACAGAGATCAATCATCATGTGTTGCAAGTATTGTCTTTTCCAAAACTCGATTGTGTTAAAGTTTCAGTGATAACCCCCTCTGTGTATGTAGACTTCTCAACATTCCAAACTTCCAGAAGTAAGCATGGATGTCAAAGCTGATATGTTCAAGGAACTTACGGACATGTTCATGTGCAGTTTTTGTGCCTTACGATTCATTGATGAAAAGGATGTAACGGTGTATGAAAAGTGTATCACAAATCAGAGGACCGAAGGAGACGAAGAACCGCTCAAACGGAAGCAAGTCAAACATAGCCCATGCATCTCCTGTCTTGGATTTTTTCGTCCCTCCATCTGTGAAGAAACAATAACAAGGGTTTCAAGTTTCATTCTAGACTCGGGACATGACTCTGACACATTCAATGTGTCTTTAACATTACCAGTTAGTTTTTTACTCAGGTCTTATTCTCTTGCCTCTTTTGTGCGTCAGAGGTGGCCTGCACTTTGTTCAGCAATTGAGTTTTGGCCCCCAAATTCTGTGAAAAATCTATGGAAAGATATCATTGCGCCCCAAATAGCAAGCAGAGTCAATCGGAAATTTGATCTGAATTCCGAACTTGATATTAAAGTTAAATTTGTTTATGCAGATGATGAGAAAGAATGCCTTTTTCTTTGCAGTAAATTTTCGCAAGTTCGTAAAAATAATGAAATAAGCCAATCTGCTGTTGATAAAATATTACGAGGTACTTATAGACAATGGCTTTTTGAAGACTACTTCCCTTCCCCACCGCCGGTGCCTAATAAGTTCGTAGAGTTCCAGGACGTATCATTGCACCACTTCTCAGTTTACTGCGGTGGACGTTACAACAAATGGTCACGGAATTTGTCTCAAACACCATGGCTCATTAAAGGAAAAAGAAAGACGGAAAGCTCAGTGGAAGAATTAATAACTGATTTGGTAAGAAAAGCCTTTAAAGCTACCAAAACTATGTTCGGATCCTCCGGACGAGAGGATGTGGATGTGAGGTGTTTGGGGCGTGGTAGACCTTTTTACATAGAACTGATCAATCCACAAGTCACCAAACTGACAAAAGAGCAACTGAGTGCCCTTCAAGAAGAAATTAACACCCTCGGGCGAGAACTAATTAGGATTCATCACCTTCAGTTGATTGATAAATCAAATTTAGCCCTTATTAAAGATAATGAAGAGAAAAAGAAGTCTTACTGTGCATATTGTGTTGTTTGGGGACCAATGCCTGATTTAAAACACCTAAGTTCTTTAACACCTTTTGACTTGGAGCAGAAAACACCTCTACGAGTTTTGCATCGCAGACCTCTGTTGACAAGGTTACGCACTGTTTATGAGCTGTGTGGTATCCCTGGAAAAGAAACTTTGCCGGATGGACCCTCTTTTTTTAAAATAAACATAACAACTCAAGCAGGCACTTACATTAAAGAATTTGTTCATAGTGACTTTGGTCGCACAAAACCAAGTCTCGGACATTTCTTAGGTGGTATCAAAGTTTCCATTCTAGCATTGGATGTGATTGATATTTGTCTCGATTGGCCACCCGCAGAATCGTAGAAGGTCGTTTATTTTTTTTTAAATTTTACAAATATTGAGAGCCTTGCCATATTACTTTCTTGTAGTATAAACAGTCCTAGTAAAATCTAGTGCGAATTAAGCGGGTCATTTTTCATCGAGGATATTGAATCAGCTGTGAATCTTAAATGAATTTTGTGTTATTCATAATGTCATTTGGCTGTCTCAATTTTACTGAATTAAATCTCCTAATGTAATCAGAATAGTTTCGGACACAGCAACCTGAACCATAGTCTACGACATAAAAAGTCAAGGCTGAGGGATGGAGTTAGTTACTAGCTTGGAGTATTGTTTAAGGGTTGATACTCGCATATATTGGTACATTCAAAAGTTCCAGATTCGCAAAACCAATCAACCCTTGAGCAATAGGTCGAACTGCTCTCCTGACTTTGGCTTTTAGCCGCCTTCTTTCGTGTTGCACACCTCTTTTTAAACTGCTTGGTGTTGCTTTAATTTAAGACGTGAATCTTTAATGGCAAATTATATTTGCATCATGTCAACTTTCATTTCAAAGGCTGTCAGGTATATGAGAGCAAGTCAGCAAGCACTTTCAGAGAAAACTTAGTAAGTGCCATTAAAGTCTTTCGTTTTCCGTTGTTTAGAACTGAAGTGTTCAGTTGAAAATTATGTGAGTACTATTTTTAGGGATTTTTTATATGCAGTTAATTATTTTTCCTCTCAGTAAAAATTGGTTGATATAATTTTCAGCCCTTTTCATTTATAATGATTGACAGCTCAACAAATTAATAAAAGGATCATCAGAAACTCATTTAATATTGTTTCTGCAATAAAATATGTTTGTATTTAAATGCTAAGAATTTATCTTGTGTCTTGTAAATACATTTTTCAACGTGAAAATGTGAAAAGTTTTCAAACTTTTTCATAGTTCTTGTGTGTAATACCCACCTACCACAATGTAAATTATGATCTATTAAAAAGCAACATGTATTGGAAACTGAGCATTATGGGTAGTCCAGTCCAGTGCGTCTTGTAAACCATGAGGAAAGAATGTCGAAAACTTAATAAATAAAAAAATGTCTTGTTAATCTCAGCGCTTCTTAATTTCTGGCCTCCCAAAATATTTTTCCTTTTTAATTCAACCATAAACTGAATTTTTATCACCATGAGAAAGTTACATTTATAATATTTGAATGACAAAGAACTACCCATCATTCCAATTCTAATCTTCTGCTCCTCTTCTTTTGATCAATCTAAAAATTTCATCTAAAGTATAAAATCTAAATCCTCTTTCCAATCTTAATTCTTCCTATGACAAAGAAAAAAAATTAAAAATTTACGGTGTCTTCTCTTCTAACTTTCGCCTCCTGTAAACAAAAAAAAAGAGTCGCAAGAAAGTACAAAGTATCTTCATAAGTAAGTGCCTACCGTAACATTGATGAAATTACACGTTGTCTCCAAGCATTAAAATTGTTAGGTGTGTTAAAAAACTCTTTATTTTTAAGTAGGTATATGTTTTGAAAAATTCTCAAGTCTCTTTTCTGGAAGGAGCACTTTACACTCCATGAGTATCTATTTTTATAAAATACATTTATTTTCTTTAAAAATGCTGAAAGACTAATTAATCAAACTAATTTCACAGACAAAGGTCAGTTACTGGAAAAAGGTCACTAAGCACTGAGAAAATTTTGAAACGTTGAAAATTTCTTGGAGGATAAACACTTAAAATTTCACAAAGATTGAAAAGACGTATAACTCTTCTATGACGATAATTTAATTTTCTATGCTGATGCGTTTTGGGTTGGTGGCCCATCAACGATGTGACTCTTCGTGTTTCAACCTTTGTTAAATTTTAAATTCAACGAATTGTGCGGAAAGTCACTCCAAAATTTCAAGTGGAGTGAATATTTTTTTCATATTAGTGACCAGGAAATTTGAAATATTTCAGGGAGAATATGCCTTTAGTGAAAAGTACCAAATTGGTAGACTAGTGTTATTTTACTGAATCTCATGAGAATAATTAATATCCTCTGTCTGTTAAAAAATTTGATCAATAATACCCTTCAGGTTTGATCCAAGATTGTTGAATACCTACATAGGCTCAAAAATCGTAGAAATCTCAGAGCGGGTCTCTAGTTCCCTTTGCAAGCTCTATTTGTTTTATCTCGGCTTTAAAAGAGATTATGAGGATTGGGAAGTGGAAACATAAGCCTTTTACTGAAATGATAAATTTCACCAAATGCTTATTTTCCTACAATTTACCAAGTTTTTGCACTACCTATTGACACGCTTTTTTTAATTGGTTTTTCCTGTAAAATATGAATAATCTTCATTCCCCCATGGAAATTGAGCCATAATTTGAAAATAACTCTTCATGATTAGTTGGCATTTTCAGAACTGTAAGAAAGTATCAAAAGTCTGTTTCAAAATCAATTAATTTTCAAACCCATGACAGCAGAATGATTGTGGCCCCACAAAATTTTTTTTGGTTCACAAAATATTTAAATGCAATATTCTTTAGTGCATCAACAGTTCTTTTTTTCTCATTGTATGTATTGGAAATGCATATCTGGAGTTCTTATTAGAACGCCTTCTAAATTTTTTCTAACAAACCTCCGATAGAATTGGGCAATTTTTTTTCTATCCATATGATACCTATCCTCATCCTTTTTATTTTTTTTTTTATTATTTTTTTTTATTTACAGATAGGTATGCGGCCAAAAAATGTGTTTATAACAACCAACTTTGACATACCTACTTATCTGTTCCCGGAAAATACCAAAAAGTCCAAGGAAAGCTTTGGAACTGCTGCCATAAAATAGCAGTGTCTCACTTCACTGTTCTTTTAAGTACCTACTTAATTAAGTTTCATTTCATTCATATTTTCAGATCGAGTAAATGCATTCTTCCACAGCCATAGAAATGAATTCCATGTCTTACCCGAAAGTGAACATTGACCAACCATTCCAACAACTAGACTTGAGTGGCAAGCTTATAATTAAGGTACGTTTTTCCTAAAATGTTCTGCATATCTGTAAAACTAATTTTTACAAGCAAGTTAACTTCAGTTTTCTCACAAGTGATCCGGCAAAATCTAGAAAAGGATGTAAGTAAATACTTTAGCTCACTGAAACACATAGCGTTTTTGAGAAGTGTACCTATCAATAATCATATCACAGTAATGAATAGTTTTTAACGTACCTTGTCCTTTGAGAAGTCGAAAAATTTCATCCAAGCCAGTTACCAACCTTTTTGATTCTTCAGACCAATAAGTAAACTTTCGTTTTTATAATTTAGTTTTTGTTTGGATTTATAATCAGTCAGTTTATTGTTTCCAGGTTCGATTAGGAGATGATGTTCGGCGCATTCCAATTCACAATGATGATATTACTTACGATGAGTTAGTACTAATGATGCAGCGTGTGTTCAGAGGAAAATTGTCCAGCAATGATGACATTACCATTAAGTACAAGGATGAAGGTAATTTGGTTTTTTATTTTTGTTTTAAGTTTTGTCTCTGATAGGGCCAATTTGATTTTAATAGCTGATCATGGTGAAAGGCTGCACCGCCTTATTTCCGTCCTTTTAGGACGTAAATAAAATTATCTGTTGGCAACGAATCCACACCTACTGTGTTGGGAGTGTTAAAATTAATCTAAGAGCTTGGAAGACAACTGGGATAAGTGCAGTTTTTGCTATTTCAAGGAATACATGTTAAAGTTTCACAATTACATGGAGCTTTATGGCGACAAGAAAGTTCAAACTCACTTCTTGATGCTTAAAATATTGGATTATTGTAGTGAAATTTTCACAGAATATATTTCAAGACCATCTAGTTTTAGTTGAAATCTTTAATATATCTTAATTTCTTGAAAAAATGCAGTTCTCCCTCTTGTCCTCCAAGTCTTTCATCTATGGTGGTATTTTTGAAAACCCAGCAGCCTAATTATCGAAATAAAGGGGCAACTTTTGGGGTAAAAGGCTGCATTTTGGAAAAGAAGTACCTAGATGAATATAAACGCCTCTTAGAACCGATTGTAGTCACCTAGAAATCTCCTGAGCATCCATAAAGTGTATAAATGAGTTATGTGTTTCCCTGTCAATTTAAAGCCATTACTTTTTGCAGCATCATGCCAAGAGGTTTCAAGAGTGGCAAAAAGCTGCACTCAATAAAAAATCAACCGAGATCTAGAAAATGCTTTTTAAGGTCTTATAAGAGTAAGTTTGTATACCTCAGGGCCTTCAATTTATATTTTACTGCGGGTATTTCTAATATTTATCAATGGCGGCTGAAGTGTAAAACCATGCATCCCTTTGTGAAGTTGCAGACCTCCTGTCGTACTCTGTTCTCACCTTGGAAAACAAGTCATTGTAATTTCTTGAAAGCTTCCTGTTATTTCCTAAAAATTCTTACTAATTTATGATTTAAAAAACTTCTTTCTTAAATCCTCATGCTTTATATTGAATTGTTTTCTTTTCAGATGGTGATATGATTACAATATTTGACAGCTCAGATTTATCCTACGCTGTTCAATATAGCCGGATTTTGAAGCTGCAAATCTTCCTGGACAGTTCTAAAGATCAAAACATCTGCCAGAGCCAACAACTAGACACCATTCAAAGAGAATTACGGTTCATCAGAGATCGTGTAAATCAGTTACTGGATACTTTAAGCGTTTCTGCCCCATCGAAGCCATCGAATAGGAATAACTCATCTAATGGACAAATTAAGTCAAGTACAAACAGCGAGCAGAGTAAGAGTTTTTCTTATTTTAAGTTATCTGCCTGTAATTTGTGCCTCATTCCTCTTATAACTGAATGCCTTTAAAAATCTAGAGGTCAGTAATAAAATATGACTGGTGCCTTGTAAGTTCTGGATGTGCCTTAAAAATAAATCTGCACTTCAGGTTAGTTCAACCTGTTGGGTCATAATGATTCCATGAAGAACACTCTGGTTGAAGGGTACTCCTCATTTTGAAGGCACGAAGAAAATTTTTAACTGTCTTGAATTGATATGTTTTCTGAAAGATGTATTAGTAATTTAGCAATCTAGTACTGCATTAGTAGTCGAATAATTCAGCAACATCTATCATCACATTGTTATTTTACATTTGCAATTATTTTACTGACCATAAAATTTCCTTATCCTCTTAAATTGTATCACATTTATCAAGCACAGTTTCTCTCTGAATGAACATTCTTTCATTTTTTCTTTCTGCTCCTAATATTTCTATTCTTTCATCATAGGTGTACCAGAGGTGAATTTGGCTAGCAAAGAATTTGATCCTCTACAAACAGTCCCCAATGCTGACAGTTCGACAGTTTTAAACAGGAATACAAAGGGTAAATCACAGTTGGTTTGTTTTTTAATTTTATAATAATAACAACTCCTGACTCATGCAAGTATTCTTCAGAAATTTATTTTGGCTGTTCTCTTGTACCTTGAATAGAAGTAAGAATTAAACTTTACCCACTATAACGAAAATAAAACAAGGAATCTAAATGAAAATCAAGCCTCAATATTCTAATACAAATGAATAGACTGTTACTATCCATGTAATATGATTTGAAAAAGCTTCTCTGTTTTTAATTGTTTTTGAAAGACCCTGCATGGGAAATCAAGAAATTCGGCAACGGTTAAATTTTATTATTATTTTAAACGATGTTCATTACAATCTACTTAGCATGATCCTTTTTAAAATTAAACTCTCTTTGTGCCCATTTTTGAAATAATCAGAGCTGAAAAGTGAATTTTTAAAAGTTTTTTTTACGACAAACATGGCCTTTCTACGGTGTTGGATATGCGCTGCCTTTTGTTCTAAAGAAATTGATGCAAGGTTGCACAGCATCCGTCTCCTACTGGGTGATCCAGACCACCCTTCCACTATCTCTAGCCGGAAAACAACTGAAAATCGAGATTTGAGGGTGAGGCCCACCACAAGGATGGGGATACTGGGTCCAAGGCCCGGGCTCCGGTACCCTAGACCTAGTATCCCCACCCTTGTGGCTGGCCTGGCCTTCAGTGGTTCTCCGGATAGAGATAGTGGACGGGTGGTCTGGATCACCAGCGGGCCGATTATTGAAATCTAAACCAGCCCGATAAGACATCGAATTGAGATATATTGCACGGTTAAGATAGGGTTATGTCTTGTCGTAAGCGACAACATAGAGTCGATGACGTTTCAATAATCGCCCCGCTGGTAGGTGTAGGACTGGCAGTTTGGACCAAGTGGAATATCAGATGACTGAAGAGTTTGCAGAAATATGAAATATGTCATTGATCTGAGCCAAAAAGTGTGTTTGATTGCCTCAAAAGAGATGACTAGCTCAATATAGCTGGTAATGCCCCAAGATACTTGCTGAACAATGAATGGAAGTTGCTCTCAAACATCTCACTTTATTTCATTGCAGATTTAAACGATACAAAACCCAAATTTTCAGAAGAGGAAATTAAAACTCAAGAACCAGCTCCAAGTCCGCAGATTATAAACATGAGCAACTACCCTGTCCAAGATCAACAGCTTCCTGCGCAGATGCAGCAAGCAGCTCCTCAACCAAGTACGTACAATTTGTTTCAAGTGAATAAGTTTTTAATAGGAGAGACGAATTATTTAATTTGCTTCCTCCTGTTTCTTTTTTATGAAACTTTCCAGTGGGTTAGGTACCCTAGTCTTCAACTCCTCTCACTTACTTCCCACATTAAAACTGCTTAATGGTTTCCATAAAAGAGGGAGGAGTGTTTGAGATACGTCAACTATGACTGCGTCAAATTTCTGATTGTCTTCTTGTAGGAATAGGAAGATTTTACTGCTTTTTCATCGTTTGAAATTTTTGCTCTGAATTGTTCTATTCGAGTTTTACCAGATCTTTTGTTGCCAAGTTACCTTACGTATTTACTCAGATGAATTTCAGGTAATGAACATCCTCAAGAATAATGCCCTTTGTGTTAGAACTTAGAATCGAAAATAAAATTGGCTCTTTCCTCCTCTTGAGTAGCGAATCTATTATAGAAATGTGAAAAAATGTTTGAGAACATTTAAAAGGAAATACTAATTATAGGAACTAATTATAATTCTCTGCAAAAATCAATACTTATTCCTTCCAGATAGAGTCCATGGACTCAGATTGTTTCCAAAGACTTTGATTGGTAAGGAGGAAATATTTCGGTCTTCATTTGTTATCATTTTAGAAATGCTTGTTGAGATACACACTCAAATACTTAGGAATTAAAACGGCACAATAATTCCCAACTATGACAAACTGGAAAAACAGAAACACAAAATATGGGTGACTAAGGCTAAAAATCAGATGATTTAAAATTTAGTTAATGTCGGAGTTGTCAGGACCTCGAAACTTCCCAACCTTTTAAATCATTTAATTCTTAGCCTCAGTTATTCATATTTTGTAGATTCCTAGTTTTCTCTTTTTAATCCCTAATTGCAAAAGTTAACCTTTGTAGTTGAATCTAATATAAGCAAGTCTCCTCTATTTCCTTTGTTTTTGTTTAGCTCCTCCACCTGGTAATGTGGTGCAAAGTGCACAGATGCAGTACTACACTCAAAATATTCAGTCACCTCAGCACACAGGAAATATGGGATACTCCTCATCACCTTACATTCAGAGCTGGTATTTTACCTTCATTTTTACTATTACTCTTACTTTATCAGCTGTTAGACTTAATCCTACTCCTCCTTGTGAAAATGTTTACCTTGACCTTATATGATGAAACTGAACTACATAGGGTGTCCTTAGAGCACCGGGTCTGGTGCAGTAACTTTTAAACGTACGCAGCTAGCAAGCTGGTTGTGGGAGCAGTTGAAAGAACAGCTCATTTTCCATTGACTGACAGCAAGTTGTCTTGGTAAATTGATTTAAGTAAAACAGAATCGTCTACAGAGTCTCCCCTCTTGTTGTATACATCTATTGGGCGTTAAGCCTGCCCTGACGTTTGCAGCTCAACTGACCAACTATGATAAATGAGGCATCTTGAAGCAGAGAAAAGAAAGTCCATTTTGCTGATGAGCCCCACAACGCTAGTATTCTTACGTAATCTGGGGCTTATCAGGAAATCGGACTTTTCTCCCTTTGCTTCAAGGTGCTTCAAATCTTCTGCGGGTGAGTTCTCCCACTTTCTGCTAATAGTCTATATTTTTCTCCTTCAGTCTCTCATCTATTACAAGAAAAAAAAGAAAGAAAAAAATTTAAAAAGTTTAAAAAGTATTTCAAAATTATAAGAAACTTGTCTAAGATGATGGATGAAGATTGATGAGGAAGTGCAAAGTCACCCGATAAATTGGTCCGACAATCAACTAACTGGATTCTGTGACTAAAGGATTCACAAGCATGTGGCATGGTTTAAACAATGGGTCCGCTGCTCCGGTCACAGAATTGTGTTTTCATGCTTGATTCTAGTAGATCAGCTGAAAATATTAAGATCTGTCCAAACTGCAACTCTCTACGTTCAGTATTAATCGAGATATCGCCCTTTGAAAAGTTGGGTTTTTGACGTCATTCATCGCGGTAGTGACACCCTTGGTTTCTTTCACCTCGGTTTTATCAGCGGGGAAGACACACCTTAGCTTTAGTTACTCTATGTGAAACGCGGATGAAAGCAAGGTGGAAGAAACTAAGGGTATCACTACCACGGTGGATGACGTCAAAAACCCAACTTTTCAAAGGGCGATATCTCAATTAATATTGAACGTAGAAAGTTGCAGTTTGGACAGATCTGAATATTTTTAGGTAATCTACTAGAATCAAGCATGAAAACACAATTCTGTGACCAGCGCAGTTGGCCCGTTGTTAGATCTTGATGACAGACACTTTGGCAAGTAAAGAAAGGAAAAAACTATCTGCACAGTTCTCTCTGCAATGAACTTTTCCATTCGTGCCGTTCATACACGAATTTCATGATTTTGTTTTTGTTTTTCATATTTTCTGAAGCAGTTTATAAGTATTTAAACCCAGTAACAAAAGCAATGATGATGCAGGAAAATTACTCTCCTGAGGATTTCTGTATTCCAAGTTGTAAAAAGAAGGGCTCAAATTGAAGCTACAAGTGTTCAAAATTAAATGTTATCATTGGTTTTTTTCTTAGCATTTACAGTTTGCCAGGAAAATAAGAAGAACTCTTTTCTTGCTGGGAAACTTTCGTATTTCAACGGTGGTGCGGAGTTTAAAAACGACCTTTATCATTTTTTTAACCGGGAATCTCCTTAAAACGATCCTAGAATTAAGGATTCAAATGCACAAAAAGAACTCTGAAGAAGGCTTCAAGTTAAGGCGCGTCTTAAAATTTCTGCACTGCACTCTCCATTTTTTTAACAAGTCATCACTAGAAATAAGTATCAAGCTTTTTATAAAAATTTATTTACAATCTAATTTGATGCTTATAGGAACCGAGCAATTGTAATTCCTGACAATTTTTGTGATTTTTTCATTCATGAGACTTTTAATTTTTTCAGGTATCAAACATCCATGCCGCCTGTCACCTCTGGAGTTTACACAGATCAAACAACTATGAAAACTATGTATAATGTGCCGCCACAACCGCAATGATGTATCTGTTCTGAAAAATTTTAGATTTTTTTCTATCTTACCCATCATTTCTAAAGTACGTGATGTTAATCTTATAAATATTTCTCTCATTTCTTCCATCTAACATATTGTGAATATTCAAGAAAAAGTATTAATTTTTTCACTCTATTTCAATAACTTTGAAGAAAAAATTTTACCTTGAAAAGTTAGAAAATATTTGGATAACTTGTAATGTTACCTACACCTTGTCCTAAGAACTAACACTTTTGAAGCAATCCAATTAATGATATGCCATGTGATCTAGTTATCAATACGATTTGCAGGTACACCATTGATAATTTAAAACCGTGGCTACTTATGATATAGAATTTTATGTCCTTTTTAAAAGTGGGATGGAATCAAAAATTGCCCATTTTAATAACTATGACATCAATCGGCAATCAACATACTGTATTCAAGGCTAATATCTTGAGCAAACTTTAGTCAGAGGCATTTTACTTTCAGAGTTTATTGCAACTTTAGGTGCTGGCATTAACTTATGTTCTCTTTTTTCATGAAAAAGGAGTAAAAAGCTAAAGAATGGAAAAAGTTTGAAAGAATTAAGGAGGAAAAAAATGAGTAGTTGTCAATAATAACCAAGGCAAGAACAAATAAGGGTTGAAAAGTAGACCCAAGCGTACCCAGATACATCTGACCCTACATGTTATGGCATGAGGCAGGAAATTAAGCAGAAGACTCAATTGAAAGCAGAAAATTTATAAGTCATTTTAATGACTGCATATGAATGTTCTTCTTGCGTTGTGCCGAGTTGTGTGTGGTGTGCTTTTTCAATTAAATTTTACCTAGCACTCTGTGGTTGTATCATTTTGCTGTTAAATATGTGAGCCCCTCAGAAATCAGGTGAGCCTCAAGCTTCACTGTATTTTGAGTGCTCACAAGAAATAGTGAAAATGGAAAATTCAATCGACAGAAGGTGAAGGAAATCTGATAGGAAGGGTAAATGAAAGATGCTACTTATCTTGGACCGATGCGTTTTACTTCTTTACTTTCTTAAAGCAAAAAATTAGAGTCTACTCAATCTTCAGTCTAGGTACTCAATTTTATCAATTAATACTTAAAAAACATTCCTGTACTGAGAAAATTTGAGTTCTCTCTCACTGCTGTTTGTTAAATCAATGATGAAACAGAACAAACATGAAAGAATCAATCCTTTTTTTATCTTTAATGTTTATCATTAATTTAGGTGAGCAATAAATGTAAATTTTAGGTTGTAAGAAGCGTGCTGCAGAGATGTTAGATAGAACTGACAGAATCTACCCAAAATCTGTCATCAACTACAGCTGAGTGAATATCTACTGATCTACTGATCGTTGATTGGTTTTATATCTTGACAAATTTAAAATTTTTACCTCAACAATTATTAGTCGGTTTCAGTGTATAATTTATGGTCTCTCGTGCAAATAACCCTGCTATTCAAGAAGTGATCTAAGTATCTGTAGCATGTAATTATCTTGTCTAATTTGCATTCTGTATCAAATGTTTTTCCTCCAATTTATAAATTAATAAAAAGTTTCCTATACCAATTCATTTTATTTTTTGTTGTGTTACTTATTGTTTTAATATTTTGTATACTCGTATTTAACTATATTTCTTTCATGAAATTATTTTTCTGAAATTGTTGAGGTTACTTCTTAACATAATGTAAAGAGGAATTACCGCTAATGGGATTAATTTTAATGAAATTAAATAATTACTTAAACAAATCACATTAAATCAGTTTTTGAAATGCATCATACTTAACGTCATACACAAAATGGGTACTTAGGAGGTTAACACCAGTCCACACGTTTAAGATAATAAATTTTATTTATACATAAGGATCAATATTGTGAATGTACTCAGCTATCAATGCTGGTCTTTGTTACATATTTTGCTTTCAAATTTTTATTTGTTTGTTTTAAGTACCTAATTTATTTTTAACTTATTGTCCATTTTGCTTTGGATATTGTGACATATTACTACGCATTTTGTTATTATTCACCTTATTTTCTGTAATTTTTCAAGTATACTAATTTTGTGTTGAAGAAAGGGCCAAGGTCTGAAATGCATCCACAACGCTGATCCTTATGTAGGTATACAATATACCTTCTTAGAAATGTGCGTGCACTGGTATAACCTTCTATCCATTTTACAACATATTAATTGAATGAATGACATTATTTATGACCATCCATGATAGACAGGATCTTAGTACCCGAGGGTATATTTTCAATAGAACGATTCTTGTCGAATTACTCAGGTTGAAAAGTCAGATTTTGAGATTCATCAAAACACCTTCCTTTTCCTTTTTCTTCAAGGAAAGTCAGAGAGAACCAGGAAAAGTCGGGGAATTTATGTCGGTCAAGTCTGTAGACATTCTGTATTTTATAATGACTCAATTAAATTTTTGTTGGTACAGGGCAGCAAAAATTTTGAATGGTTCCTAATTTGAGTGTTTAGAAATGAAATTAAAAATTTTACAAATTTTGCATGATTTCTCAATTATCTGAACTTGTTGAGAAGGCAGGCTGAAAATTACATTTTCGAGTTAAAGTGTCTTGCCAATGATTACTTAAAAAGTCGCGCAAATTTTTGAATAACTTCCAATGCCATGACGCTCTTTATCATCAGACATGTTTCAGTAGGAGGGTACTTAAATTGCCATGCTGCCTTCATCAGCAAGTAGGATGTGAGGTAGGTAAACACTGTGAGGTCCAACTTGAATGAATCAGGGTTTTTTAAAAAAAAAAAAAAATTTAGCATGAAAAAAATCTAAAATATCCTGCAATAAACATTTCTTTTTGCTCGGGGCATCAAGTCAAATGCCTCGCAAAAATTCAAAACCTGGTTTTTCGAAAGATTGAACATGTCTCTTGCGTTATTACGTTTCCATTCGCTCGAGGCCTCAAACAACACCAAAGGTACCATTTGAACACTCCATATGACTCTAGTCAAATTCAAAAGTTCGAATCAAAAAGGGTCAAATAGAATCGTGTAATGAGTCAAATAAATTTGCAGCGCTCTCTGTGTGAGTTTCATAGCAGCTGGTAAGGTACGAAAGAGATACGATAGATGGCAGCACTAATGTTTCCTTGCGGCTGCCACCGACTTTTTTCTCCTCACAACAGCTAGCTACTTGTGTTTTATGCGCAGATAATTTCGACATTCCGTGATTTCCGTGCTACTTACGTCGATTACTTACATTCCGAAACCAAAAACCGAGCGGGGTTCGGATAGACAATACAATTTCTCGGGAATTGGTTTTGCTCTCAGAATTATTATCGTCAGTGCTAATTTTTGTGCGACTTCGAACGAAATGCTCCACGCAAGTTGTCAGTTAACACCGTTGTTGAGTGCTTGTTATCTCGTCCATTTTTAGCTCTGAAGCTCTGTTCGATTTGATATATTTTCATTTGTGCTCTCTCTGGAATTACTATTCTCATCACTGATTCCGACGTACAAAGCTACAGGTAAATAGTGCTTAATTATTCTGCATGGAACTGAGATGTCTTAATTTTCCACGAGAAGACGCAGCTGCTCATGAGTGGGGTTATCATATTGTGTTGAAGTCAGTCCCAGCTCTAACTTGAATTCAAACACATTCTTCTGAAAGTAATGAAGCTTATGTTGCATAAATGTTGTAAATCGGCAGGCCATTGACATTAACACATCGGTCGATTGAATATTGTTGTATCTGTCAGATTGTCCCGCCAGGTTTGAAGATGAACGAATGCGTGATTGTTGGGTACGTAACCCTATTTCTGCAGGGGACAACCTCAACTAGCATGCTTTGTACACTACGTATTCCTTGAGTTAACTGAGTGTTTTGTATTCATCAGTTGGACTTTAAATTTTGAAATGTATTTATCAAACACCTAGTAGTTCTCACTCAGGAATGTTGTGACTACAAATCCAGGTCACGACTCATGATCGATCTTTTGCCCACCTGGTCCGTGCATGAGAATTTGCAAATAAGTCTAAGAACACTGTCCCAGCATATCTTCTTCTTGGGATGCCTCCAATCTGAAGAAGGATGTTGTTACACCAAATCCATTTGATATAGGTTATACCGTTTTAACTGGTGAATGACGTGGAAGGAGCAGAAGCTTCGGAAAATTTTGAAGTTTGTATACCAAATCTGGTGTTTATTCTAAAATCAGAATTAAATTTTCTGTAGTTTCTCCATTATCACTAATTAAGAACCGAGAGGTAGCTGTATTTACTAATAACCGACCTGACTTGTAGGCATTACTGTACCAAATCCAGTCGAAAGAACTCAGTTAACAAGGTTTTTACTCGAGTTTTAATGGCTATTGAAGTTTTTTTTTCTTCTTCTGTTTTTTTGCTGAACTCTGAGTTACGTTTCTTTTGCTGTGTGTCAGTACCAAACAGACTCTCAACCTGTAGTTGCTTGAAAGAAATTTAAACAACTCTTTTGGGAGGATGCTTATATGGATTTCCTATTGAAAGTATGTTCTGTACTGATCGTTACATCATTGAATGATCGGATACATGGGTGATCAAGTCAAGCTCCTAATTATGGAGAAAGTTCGGTACTCGGGCTGCATGAAAAGTCCATGAAAGGTACTCCCTGGGAGTTCGGTACTCGGACTGCACATCTGTCACAAATAGTACTAACACCATAGAGAAAACTAACATGTATACGAAACTCACCATCCAACACCCGACCATTCCAACAACACACCGTAAAACTAGACGAATCAAAAGACCCTCAACTCCGCCTTGAAGCACCGTAAAAATACCCCCCCCCCCCCCCCCCCCCC